GTGTCCTGGGATCATGCAAATACCTTTTGCGACCTTCTGACAAGCAAAGTGAATAGGAAAGCCAGATTCACTTAACAACTATGTTTCTAATTTAACAACTGAGTGATTCACTTAACAGCCGTGGCAAGAAAGTCGTAAAATGGGGCAAAACTCGCTTAACAACCATCTCACTTAAAAATGGAAATTTTGGGCTCCGTTGTGGTCATAAGCCGAGGGCTATCTGTTATATTATTTATCTGTAACTGTATTATAACAAAGAATGTTATCAGATGATAGGGATGCCACTCTGGACAATTGACCTATTTAAGAGCCTTGTTTCAGGAATCGTTTTGGATTATTGCCTTGCATATTCTCAAAATAATCTGTCACAGAGGTCTAGCATAAATGTTAGGGACTTTTGCTTTGAGCACTCTGAATAAAACATAAGTAACATAACTGAAACATTAACAAACTTTTTGTTAAAATTAATGCTGTAAAAATAAATTTAAAAATTTTATCTAACCATTACTCTGGGAGTTGAAGTTGAATGTATTGTGAGCCGCCCTGAGTCTTTGGAGAGGAGCAGCATATAAATTGAATTAATTAAATTAAATTAATTATATTTTGAAGCATAAAAAGGCCTGTTAATACAACTTACATAATTCTATTGTACACCACCCAGAGTCCCTCAAACAAACAATGATATAGCAACAGGAAAGTGATCAAGAGTTGATCTGATATAGCCAACAGTTTTATTGCTTTATAAAAATGCTACTGGCCTGTTTAAGGGAATCCCTAATCTTTTCAGAAGAACGAATCTAAATAGGAAAAAAAATGGGGTTAAATTAGGCAAGGACATAAAATTGAAAGAGAGGAAGAAAATAAGATCTAATCCCCAACAAAAATCAGTCTACATACTAATATTTTAATACAGTGCTAATTGTCCAGTAGTATTGTTCTGGCCCCACTGCACGTTAGTCTGTGTGCAGCTCAACAGACAGCTAAACCAACCTATCCTCCAATAAAACGGACTGTGTGCATAGATCTGAATGCTTTATTGGGAGAACAGGTTATGGTGAAACTGAGGAAAATAGGGATACATACAGTGAGACTCAAATATAAGATAGTATTAAATTACTGCTGAACATAATTAGTAAATACAAGCAATTTAAATCTCACCAGCAATGCTCGGTGTGTGGGATGTGGGTTTGTCTTTGGATGACCATGTGCTACAGATTAAAATGGCTGCTTCTGTCTTCTCCAAATGCTAAAGGAAATGGAGTCTGGCTTCCCAGTGTGCACTTGGTTTAAGTGCAGGCTGATGGGAAAATGGGCGGAATCGGCTTCAGACAATGTAGTTGGGGCATATTTGTCTCTCCAGCCACTAGCTGGGGCTAGAGCGCAACAACAGTATAATAAAGTTACCATATTTTTTGGAGTATAAGACGCACCTTTTCCCCTCCTAAAAGGGGGTGAAAATTTAGGTGCGTCTTATACACCGAATGTAGCCCTGCCCACCAGCTGGCCCCCACCCTTTGGCCTCTGCCTCGCAGCAGTTACCTCCTTGGAAGCAAACAGCAAGAAAAAACAGCTCCTTTCACCTTCAGCACAGCCTAATTAGGACAAGTTGATTGGATCGGCCTCCTGACTCTCAGCTGTTTTGCGCAGGGCTCTGCTGCTTGCTGCAAAGAGGTAAATTGCTGGAACAGATCTTTTTTTTCCCTTGTGCTAATCAAGCTATGCTGAAAACGAAAATGAAAGTAAAGCAGGCTGTTTGCTGTTTGCTGCAACAAGGCAAAATTGCTCAGAGGCAGAGGAAGATTTCTTTTTCTTCTTTTCCTCACCAAAAAAGGTAGGTGCGTCTTATACTCTGGTATGTTTTATACTCCGAAAAATACGGTATATGTTGTGGCATGGCACTCCCTGCTTGGTATCAACAGATACCACTATTTGAGGTTATTTTTTTATTCATAAACATTTGAATACAGTTTATTGTCAGAGTATATCATTTACAAAAGAAAGAGAGAAAACAAAAAGAAATATTAACACATATACTGGTAACAATAGTAATAATATAACAGAATAGTTTTGGCTCAATTTCTCTTTATATTGGCTTATTTTACTTATTTTTTTTTTCTTTTATTTAATTTGTATACCACCTTTCTCCCGAAGGACTCAGGGCAGTGAACAGCCAACAATAAAATACATACATACAAAATTTAAAAAACAGAACTAAAATCAAATTAAATAATTTGGCCCAGACAGATTAAAATCCCAATCAATTTAAAACAGATTTAAACTTTGAAAATTAAAAGATATTGAAAATATTAAAATATTAAAATTGTTTAAAAATTGTTTAAAATTATATTGTTTATATTTTAAAATTGTTTGTTTATAATTCTGTTAATTATTTTGGCATATTTATAATTATAAACCATATTTATATTTAATTCCTATATAGCAATAATCTTTCTTCATCTAATTTCTACCTCTTATCTCTAGCCACTTATAAAATCTATTCCATATCAAGTAATATTCTGTGTCTTCTTTGTCTTTTATTTTTAATCTGTCCATCTCTGTACAATCTAATATTTTCCTAATTACATCCTCATCTGATGGATTGTTCTCATTTTTCCAATGTTGTGCAAATACAATCCTTGCTGCTGTCAGTACATGCAAAACTAAATATATAGTCCCTTTATCATAACCCTCCGGTATTATATCCAACAAAAATATTTCTGGTTTCAAATCGATATGTTGCTTAATCATCTTTTCCAAACAAGTATGTATTTTCTTCCAATATTTTCTTGCTTTCGTACAAGTCCACTAGGGTTGCCAGGTCTGCTTCCAAAAAATAGTGGACAAGCGGGGGGGGGGGGGGGTTAAGTAGTAAAAAAATAAAATAAAATTTACAATTAAATTATATATTTTCTTACAAACAATTTACAGTAGGCCGTCGTATTTGTTCTGTCGGTTTCGTTGTTGGTAATCCATGCAAAAGTAGCTTTCCAGTCTTTGGTGTATTTGCATACTTCTCTCTTTCGTTTTAAAGAATTCGAAATCTCGCCTCTGTCAGTCTCATCACTCGACGCCATTTTAGGTCAGTCGACACAAGCTACGATACATTTTAAAAATGTGAACTACATAATTTTACAATATATTTTTATTTTAATCTCATTAATTTTTTTGGAGAATCGAGTTCAATGGTATTCGATCTTTGTCTCATTCTAACTTATGAAAAAAAGACAAAACGCGATTCTCCTATCCTTATTCTCTTAGACTGTACAGCTTTAGATTACGTACCATTTTATCATAAAGGTTTTGAATAAAAAAAATGTCCACTGTTTTGTGAAAAAAAATAGTGAACATAATGTGAAAAAAGCGGACTGTCCGCTCAAATAGTGGACACCTGGCAACTCTAAAGTCCACCACGTATGATAATAAGTACCTGGTGTCTGATTACATTTCCAACATTTGGCAGACATATTACTAAACATTTTTGCCAATCTTGCTGGCAGCAAATGCAACCTACAAAATATTTTATAAAAATTTTCCTTATATGTAGTAGCCATTGTCAGTTTATAGTTCCTATCCCAAAGTTTTTGCCATTTATCTAATTCTATAGTTTAACCAAAATTGTTTGCCCATACAATCATTGTTTCTTCGACTTGTTCCTCTTCTATTTTATAACTTAATAAATAATTATATATTTTTAATCAGTTTTTCATCTGTCCCTAATAAGATCTTATCAAATGTTGTTGGTTCTTTAAAAAGACCCCATGTTTTTACATCTTTTTTGTATCTTGATTGTATTTACAGATACAGCCACCAAGTCTGACTTCCCAGTGTGCACTTGGTTTGAGTGCAGACTGATGGATAAATAGGCGGAATCAGCTTCAGACAATGTAGTTGGGGCATATTTGTCTCTCTGGCCACTAGGTGGCCACTGGAGAGCAACAATAGTATAATAAAGTTTTATGCTGTGGCATGACAAGTATGATTGCTTTTTCCCCTCCATCTAAATCAGAAGTAAAAGCTGATAAATGGAGCATACTTTAATTCTAAAAAAATTAAATTTTAATACCTAATGTGAGTTTTCTGGTCAGTTTACAAAATTCATTTTAAATGTTTAATTTGTTTGATAACAGTTATGGGCCAGTACAAAATAAATTGAAAATTAAAACATATAATTCCCAGTAATGACTAGTGACAAGAATAGTACTATACAAATCTGTGAAACCTATGTATGTCTAATAAAAGAGCCATAATTACCAACAAACAATTGCCTTGTTTTGTTGAAAAAAGACAACTAAAATCTGCCAACTGTTAATTTATAGTGAACATTACAAATGAAAAAACAGTAGTTTTACTTTTAATTAGCCACATACAGGTTTCACAGCAATATTCTATAAAAGTCTTACGTTGAATATACAAGTTACCCGTATTTTTTGGAGAATAAGACGCTCCAGACTATAAGATTCACCTACCTTTTTTAGGGAGGAAAACAAGGGAAAAAAAAATCTGCCTCTGCCTCCCAGCAATTTGCCTCCTTGCAGCAAACAGCCTGCTTTAGTTTCATTTTCATTTTCAGCACAGACTGATTAGCACAAGAAAAAAAAATCTGCCTCCCAGCAATTTGCCTTCTTACAGCAAACAGGAGGCCCATGCGGCAATAGGCAATGGCAATCCCTGCAGCCTGAAACAGCTGAGAGTCGGGAGGCCGATCCAACCGACAATCAGCTGCTTGTGCTAATCAGGCTGTGATGAAGCTGAAACGGGCTGTTTGCTACAAGGAAGTAAATTGCTGGGAGGCAGAGGCCAAAGAGTGGGGGCTGGCCGGTGGGCGGGCTACATTCGGTGTATAAGACGCACCTAAATTTTCACCCTCCTTTTTGGGGGGAGAGTGCGTCTTATACTCGGAAAAATACAGTATATAATAATTCTACTAGAAAATGTAATTCTGCTATCAAATTTGTTTATGAATATTTTAAAAATATTTAATTTGGCTTGCTTGCTTTCAGAATTGGCAAAGGTTTCCAAGGAGTCATGAAAAGATGGGGATTTTCTGGCCAGCCTGCTTCCCATGGCCAAACTAAAACACACAGACGACCTGGATCAATTTCTAGTTCTGCAAGTATTCTTATATTATTTTGATCAGTTCAAAGAAGATACAAATTGAAAGCATATAGTAAATTGAGACATTTTGGTAATATCAAAATCTTCATAAGCTAAATTCTGGCCCCTTACAAATTGATAGTGATACAGATTCTGAGTAAATTTAATCACATTTCTTGAAAACTGTATAAATTGCCATGGGGAACCTTACTTTGTGCCTAATTATCTGTGAGTATAGTTAGTCCTTGACTTAATGACCAGAATGGAGCCCCAAATTTTGTTCATAAATTACTGTAGTCATTAAACAAAGGGCAATACAAGCTCTCCCCATTGTATGACATCACCCACTGATACACAGAAACTTGCTATGGGTTGGGAGATGTCAACTAGCTAGGCCCACCAGTTCACAAACCCTCTCCGCACCACATCAGATCCATTTACTTTTCCACCAACTCACTCCATTTTGCACGTGGACCATTCCCATGATAGTTTAGAAGGTTCAAAATCTTTAGTAGTTTCTCCCCCAGAATCCACCTCTTTTGCTAGCATTATTCTTTTCGGAGGAGAAAATGCTAGGGAAGCCAACATTCTGAAAGGCTCTGCACTAGCTTTACTAGTGGTTTCTCCAGATTTAAGGACTGTTTCTCAAGCACATGGGAAGATTTCCCCTCCCTGCAGAAAGGGGAGGGAAAATCCCTTGTTACACAATGGAACAGATTTCAAATCCTTATCACTTGTGTTTGCAATCTTCACTGCCAATTTCCCCAGAAACCAGTAAAGAATATTGCAAATAGCAATCATATGATCACAGGGCCATTGGCAATCAATCATAAACAGAAACAGGTTGCCAAGCTCTCTGGGTCATAACTCTTGTTTTTGGAAGTTGTGGTTAATTTGAACTGTTGTGAGGCAAAGGCTCATAAATCAAGGATATTAACAGGGAAGAATGCAATCATACTAGTCATTTAATGGGCTCCATTCTTCCATGGTATTCCTATGCCAGATAATAAAATCAAGTTTTGTCTAACATCACTTTGATTTTTGAGACAGGGTGTTGCAAAGGTCTTCAAGGGAAAGAAAATGCCAGGACAATTAGGAAACTTCTATCGGACAGCTAACGGTCTAAAGGTAAGGCTGCTGAAGAATATCTCATTTGATTTGATAAATTAACTTCTTAGTGCACCATGATTTCTGTGTAATAGTAAAGTTTACATATTCTTCTCAAGAAATTCAAAATAATTAATTGAAGAAGCCAGTGTCATTTTCATCTGACTTGAAAAATAAAGCCTTGCCTTCTCATACAATGAAAACATTACCCTACTTCAAAGCTAGAGAAGGAGCTTCTTAATCCTCTTTTTGCCAATGTGGCTGTTAATGGAGCCCGGAAATAAAGACAGAAAAGTTTCTCACATGGCCATTTGTCCAAGCATAGTTTATGCTATTAAAGATTATCCACGACTGGGCTGTTGAACAAATTGAATGGTATATAGCTTTATGTATAAATTCAATAATCCCTGATTATATTTTTAAGTGATCAAAAACTGACACAAGCTTTCTATGGCACAAACTTAATCATGAAATCTAGAAATTTGAATCCAGAAAGTCTCTTAGTTGCTGAAGAATGCATAGAGGAGGCTGTTATTTAGTGTTGCAAAGTACTTATTAGAATTAGAATTCTTTATTGGCCAAGTGTGATTAGACACACAAGGAATTTATCTCCGATGCATAGGCTCTCAGTGTACATACAATAGTGATAGATCATTATCATAGTCATTATAAGAATACATTTATAATAAAACATTAGATACAACAGTCATGGATACTAAATAAGCAATCAACATAAATCATACTAGGATACTAAGTAAACAATATAAATCGTAAGATACAAGCAACAAATTTATAATCATAAGAAGATAAGGAGACAGGGAATAGGGAAGATGAGAATAATGATGGTAATACTGCCTTTCTAGATAGTATAACAGTTTTGTGGGAATTAGTTGTTAGGCAGAGTGATGGCATGAGGGAAAAAACTGTCCTTGTGTCTAGTTGTTTTAACATTCAGTGCCCTATAGCGTCATTTTGAGTGTAGAAGTTGAAACAGTTTATGCCCAGGATGCGAGGGGTCTGTAGATATTTTCACAGCTCTCTTCCTGGCTTGTGTGGTACACAGGTCCTTAATGGAAGGCAAATCAATTGTTTCGTCTGCAGTTCTAATTATCCGTTGAAATCTGTTTGTCTTGATTGGTTGCAGTGCCAAACCAGACAGTTATAGAGGTACAGATGACAGACTTATTCAAAGGGAATGCAAACTTCTGTCCCTGCCATATTTACAGATGGATTCAGATTCATAAACAACAACTATATAATCATTTTTACTTCTATTGAAAGAGATTACATAACTGTCTTTTTCTTAAATTTCTGTTGTTCTAAGAGAGTTCCTCATAAAAGATGTCTTTTTACTTAAAAAATAAAGTTAGATATAAGTCAATAATAACAACGTGTTAATTCTTACTGGGTAATTTTAATCTTACAGATATGGCAGGTCAATGTGAAGCACAATATTTTATATGTACATGGAAGTGTTCCCGGTCATAGGAATTGCTTAGTAAAGGTAAGTTTGATACTTAGAAATGAACAGAGAATGGCTTACAAAATACTAAGTTTTCTTATCAGTGTTATATAAGATCCTCTGTCACAGAGACCTCTGCTTGTTTCTACTGTTACGTTAGAAAAAGCTGAAATATTACTATTCCTACCAGTCAAGTAAAACCTTTGAAGATACCTTTGTTTGTTCTTTGTGTACAGAGTAGACATACAGACATGGTTACATACAGAAACCATTATTAACATATCTTTACTTAAAAGCTACAGGGGATGATTTCACATATAAAGCACAGTTTGAAGTGTATGTGAGCCATATAAATGAGGTATCATTTTCCTTTTAACAATTTAAGAATCTTGAGGTTCCTGCTATACTTCTGGTGGCGTTGAAGGCGAGGACCGCAAGCTCTGCGGCCCTGCTCTGAGCTCTCCCTGTTGGAGGGCTCCAAAAGGAGCCATAGCTACTCTGGAGGGGTGGTGAAATAAAGGGGGTGCCTTGCAGGTGAAGGAGAGCCACATCTCTCCTCCCTGACTTAGAAAATCCCCCTCACCCAAGGAGTAGCGACAGTCAACATGGCTGTCATGAAGCTGGGGACAGCCAGAACACCTAAGAAAATGCAGGAGCGAAGAAATAGTGAACAGAGATTGTTTCTGGGTGAGATGATTCTTCTTTTACTTAAAAAGAAAAAATTAGTGATAAGAGACTCTAAAAAAATAATTGTTTAAGCCGTGAAAATAAGCACTTCCGAGATTTATGTTGAAAAGCAAGTTGGAGAGAGGGTGTGGCCGGCATCAGGCGAAACGGTGTGGATTCTGGGTCTCCAGGAGAACACCGATATCCTAGCTGATTTTGGAGATTTCCGGGATCATAGCTGTCTTGTGGAGACAGCGAAGAAAGAAGACACTGGCTGGCATGGATAGGGAATGAGCAAGTTCCCTGAAGTGCCGGCGTTAGTCTTCGACCCGTCGGTGAAGGAAGGCAGCCATTAAGGAGCTGTCACAAGCCAGAACGGCCACAATCTGAAAGAGGAAATGCAATAAATGGTAATTGAACAGAGTATTGTCACTGAGTGAGTAATGGGCCAATTCACAAGTAAAAGGGGAAAAAACTTTGACAGCTTGAAAAGATTGTAGCGAAAGATTGCCGGCTAATTAGCACAAAGACTAAAGTGGGGAGGGCAGGAACCCGGAACTTTAAAAAATCAGACCTAAAGCCTGGAAAAAAATCTTTCATTCGGAGTTAAAACTGGATTTGGGGGGAAAAAATAAGACACGGAAAAGAAGACAGAAAAAAACAGCTGAAGAATTTAATTTAAAGTGTGAATGCTTTTGTGTATTGCAAGATGGCTATTTTATTATGGAAATTGTGAATCGGAGAAATAGCTGCTAGAGGGGGAACTTAAGAAGAGAGAGAAAAGGAACTTTAAAATCAAACCTAAAGCCCTAAAAGGAATCTTCCACCTGGATTTATAATTGGATTCGGAAAAATAAGAATAAGACAAGGAAAAAGGAGACAGAAAAACTTTTTTTTAAACAATAAAGGATTTAATTTGGAAAAGAGAAAATAAGCGTTCCTGTGAATTATAGAAATGGAGATTTTATTGCCAGAAGACTAGTGAAGCAGAGAAAGACATCTGTTGGCAGAAGGAGCGTGAGAGAAAGGCGTGGGAGTGCATATTGGTGCAGCTGAAGCAAGGTTAAAGAGACAAAGACTAAAACTGTGCTGGCTCAAGTAAATATTTGAAGTGGACATTTTTTTAAAAGAGATATTATATCAGCGGTTCTCAGCCTGGGGGTCGCGACCCCTTTGGGGGTCGAACGGCCATTTCACAGGGGTCACCAAAGCCCTCTCTCCCCCCCCCACGCCTTCACTCACTCTCACTCTCTGCTCTGTTGGATCGCCGGCCGTTAGTTTACCCCGCCCACTCCCAATCTATTGCTGCTTCCTGAGTCCCAGCTGATGGCTAGAGGAAAAAAAACTGTTTAAATTCTTGCCGCGGGGCTTCAAAGGGCCGCCCTATAGCCAGTGGTGCAGCCGAACCGTTTGTTAAATTGCTGGCTTGCCCCGCCCCTCCGCACCCCTATTTATTGCCAATAAATAGTGGTGGGCGAGGGGCGGGCGAGCCAGCAATTTAACAAATGGTTTGGTGTTTTTTTGTAATTTTATTGGCCCACGGAACTTCAGCATAGGCTCATTAGCCCTGAATTAGATCCGCTCCCGACCCTCAGCTGATTTGCTCTCAGCTGTTTTGCTCAGGGCTCTGGTGCTTGCTTGCAAAGAGTGCTGATTCTTTTCCCCCTAGCTATGCTGAAAACGAATCTGAAAGTAAAGCAGTTTGCTGTTGCTGCAAAGCAGTTTGCTGTTGCTGCAAAGTTGGAAAATTAGGCAGGCAGATTTCTTTTCTTTTTCCTCACCAAAAAAGGTAGGTGCAAACAATGGGAAATTTAGGGCAAAAGAGGAGAGTTCAAGATTTTAAAACACAAAAGAAAAAAAGCTCTATTTAACTAGGGAATTGTAATAATTGAGATACTATTAATTGTATATTGTGTTGAAAGCAGAAATGGTTAAGTTGTGGTTTGGAGGAATATATGGGGGAAATTATTTGGTTTATTATTATTGGTAAATATTAATTGATTTGTAAGAAATTGGATTGCATGGAAATAATTGGAATATTCATGTTCATATTGATTAATATACAAAAAAAGTAGTTATATAACTAATTGATTTATATTAAAATGTTGAATTTATATTAAACAACTGTAATATTACATAATTAACCAATGTGAGGATGGATATAAAAATAGATGACAATGGGAAGGGGTATAATATAGAATAGAAGGGAAAAATTGAATTTGATTAAGATTAGAGATGAAGATGAAGGGTAATATTGGTTTTTTACAAAAATAGATGAGGAATAAATATGGCAAAAAGGAAATATAGAAATTGTAAATTTAATTGAAATGACTAAACACTGTTTAAATTTATGAACCGGCCAAATACTCTGTTCAAAGAAAATACATTGTATGTTTGTATGTGTGTTTCTAATTATTGTTATTTATTCATATTTGTTCTCTTTTATTCTTTAAAGTTTAACAATTCATTCTTTATCTTAATATCTTTATATTTGTTTGGGGTTGGCTTTCTTCCCTTTCATCTTTTTTATTGTACAGCAATTTTTCTCCTCAAACCTACCACCTCTCTCTTTTCTTTCCTTCTTACTTTCTCTTCCTCCCCCTCTTCTTCTCCTCCCTACTTCCTCTTCCTTTCTCCTTCTCCTCCTCTCTTCCTCCCTCTCTTACCCTCACTCCTACTCTAATTTCCCTTCCCTTCTTTCATCCCTCTCTATTGCTGCATCCTTTTATGCATATGGACTACTCAGAGGGCTGAAAAAGTTATTTCTGACTGGTCCTCGCACTTTTGACCAGTCCTCGAACTTACGACTGTCCTCACATTTTACGTTTTTGCCCTATTTTGTCACCATGGTGAAGAGAAGCAGTTGTGAAATGAGTGACACGGTTGTTAAGAATGCTGCACGGGCATAAATGTGAGGATGGTCATAAGTGTGAGGACCAGTCAAAAGTGTGAGGATCTGTCAGAAATGACTTTTTTCAGCCCTCTGACTAGTCCCTATACATATAGCCATGGCCACCCGGTCACATGACCTCCAAGCCACGCCCACCCAGTCACATGACCTCCAAGCCATGCCCACAAAATAAGCCACGCCCACAGAACCGGTAGTAAAAAAATTTAGAACCCACCCCTGGTTGGGGGTCACCACAACATGAGGAACTGTATTAAAGGGTCGCAGCATTAGGAAGGTTGAGAACCACTGTATTATATGGACTTTGAAACCTGAAGCATATGTAAATGAAAAGAACAAGCTTAAAAACCCTAGTCTTTTAAATTTGAAAATATGGAGAATTGGGAGGATGAATATGAGATACTAAGGGAGATGTTTCAAAAAATAAGGGAGGCATTTAAGGGAAATAAAGAAGTAGAAGATTGGTTAGATTGCAAAAAAAAAGAAAGAGAAAAGATGAATGAGAAGCAAGAGAAACGAGATAATATTGAAAAAGAAATAATTGAAAAAAAGATAAAGATGATTACACTGGGTTCAGTAGTGATAGAATAAAAATGGATAAGGGAAAATACATCTCAAACATGAAGAGAAGAAAAATAAATGGGGAAAGATTGAGAATGAAAAGCAATAGTTAAAATTAAAGGAAAAACGCTGAAGGGGAGATATAAGAAAAGGAAAAAGAAGAAGGTAAAGAAATAGGAGAAAGGGAGAAAAACATCAAGACAAGGAACCGTGGAGAGACTAAGAGAAAATGGTTAAGAGTCAGTGAAAATGTTAATTTGTTAATAAAGAGAAGGATGCTAGTTGTAGAAATTGTATGTGAAAATGCTGTTAAATGAAAAATAGAACAATGTAATGTGAAAGAAAGAATGATATTGGAAGAAGCACTAAAAGGAGAGAATAAATTATTATATAAAAATTAATTGAAATTAAGATGGAAAATAGAAATTAAATGTAAAATTGAATGAAATTGAAATGTAAAAAATGATTTAAATGGCATACTTGTAGGAAGTAAAGTAGAAAAAATATATTGTTAAAAGTAAAAAGTCTAAGGATTGATTGAGTAAAGATTTAAAAGAAAAAATGGAATAAGATGAAATATACTGCTAATAATTAAAAACATGAGGAGAAAGTTTGGAGAAATATACTTGATAAATGAAGGAAAGACGGGTTGCCTGGACTCCATAGTGGAAAATATAAAATTGAAAATGAATACAGCAATAGAAAGGGATGAAGGAAGGAGAAGAGAGATGGAAGAGAGAAGGAAGAGAGAGAAGGGAGGAAGAAAGGGAAGGGAAATTAGAGTAGGAGTGAGGGTAAGAGAGGGAGGAAGAGAGGAGAAGGAAAAAGGAAGGGGAAGTAGGAGAAGAAGAGGGGAAGAGAAAGTAAGAAAAAGAGGTGGAAGGTTTGAGGAGAAAGATTGTTGTAC